ACGTTGATTGGTTACCTCCCACGTGAGGATTGAGCCTGCAACTGAGGTATGTGCCCTTGACCGGAATCGAACCTGGGACCCTTCAGTTCAAAGGCCAATGCTCTGTCCACTGAGCCAAACCGGCTAGAGCTCTCCTGCCTTTTTAAAAAGTCCCGTCTTCTACCAAACCATGGGTAAGGATCATGTACCCTCCTTCCCCCCTGCTCTGTCTCCCTGGCTCTCACACACCGGTCACCTCTCAGGGTCCTAGGAGGGGTGGGAACCGTAGGAGGGCAGACCACCAGCACCCTTCAGCTCCCACCTGAGGGGCCTGGGAGGGTGGGGAAGGGGGCGGCTGTCAGAGAAAGCTCTGGGTCTGGCTCCTGAACGAGAAGAGGTCAGGCTTGAGCTGGTCCCCCCACTACTGACCGGCGTGGTGCGGGTCCCTCAACCCCTTCCCCGGAAAGGGCGGATGTCACTGTCAGACCTGACCTTGGGAGAGGTGACAGCGGAGAGACAATGTCAAGGACATGCTGGGCCAACAGAGTAAGGCAGAGTGGCAGCCACCGCCCCTCCTCTGCCCCCCAGCCCTTCTCCCTGGGGCTGCAGGGCGAGGGACTCTCACCTTGGCCAGGGTCTCTGCCTGCTTGGGGCTCAGGTCTCCGACTCGGCCGCTCATGGTGCTGGGCGAGCTGGAGGAGGAGGGACCACTGTAGGCAGCGGCCAAGCCTGGTCTGGAGCCCTGAGCCAGCCGAGCCGGCCTTTTGCTGCTTTCCTGGGTGTGGCTCCAGGCACCTCCTCCCCGGACAACTGGCGAGTGGCACCTTACATAATTGGGATTAAGTGAGGTCCCGTGTTTGGCTCTGGGCCAGGTCTGAGGGGCAGGCGGGCACGGAGCCTGGGAGGGAACGAGGCTGGCCTCCCGGGTCATGGGAATCGAGGCTGGGCCCTACAGAACCCCCATCCCTGTTCCCAGGCCTCCAGGGGCCACTGTCCCGGAGGAAGAGGGAGACTTCAGGGAGAGTGGGACCCGCACGCTTTCTCTTCCAGCCTCAGTTTCCCCGTGTCACTGATGAAGGGACTCCACACGCAGGGTCCTGCAGGTCGCCACCAGCCCAGCTCTGGCAGGTAGGGGTCAGGGACGTGGTCAGTTTAGTAGGCGGTTCATTCCCTTTGTCTGGGTAGGAACCTCAGGTCCTTTTGCAACAAGAAGAGACAGGCTCGCCCTGACCGGTTTGGCTCAGTGGATAGAGCGTCGGCCTGCGGACTGAAAGGTCCCAGGTTCGATTCCGGTCAAGGGCATGTACCTTGGTTGCGGGCACATCCCCAGTAAGGGGGTGTGCAGGAGGCAGCTGATCGATGTTTCTCTCTCATCGATGTTTCTAACTCTCTATCCCTCTCCCTTCCTCTCTGTAAAAAATCAATAAAATATATTTAAAAAAAAAAAAAAAAAGAAGAGACAGACTGGGGCAGAATTCAAGTGTCCTTGCTGACGGCTTGTTCTCTCCAAAGGGCCGATGCTACGGTTCCTGGTGTCTTTCAAATTCCATCCTGCCATGCTGGCCCTGCGCCTCAATGTGGGGAGGGGCTGAGCGCTCCCCACCCTGCAGCCCTCTCTTCTCTTCCCTGAGGCCTCGTCCAGAATCCCGCATCCTGGGCCCTATCGCAGAGGTGGGGCAGGTGGGTGGCCTTGGGGGTGGGGGGCCGGGGGAGGTGTTTCTTGGGATTTTAAACCGAGGGTGCAGTTCCCGCTCGCCCTGACCAGTGAGGGGTGCCCACCATCTGTGCGAGGTGATGGAAAAGCCCAGAAGGGTCCCTGTCCTTTGATTTCTGTCGCGATGCCTGATCTTCTACCATCACACGTGCCTGCAAGGCCTGGCCCTGCTCCCCACTCGCCAATAAGACGCTCCTTTAAAAAAAAAATGTTGCCCTGACCGGTTTGGCTCAGTGGATGGAGCATCGGCCTGCGGACTGAAGGGTCCCAGGTTCGATTCCGGTCAAGGGCATGTACCTTGGTTGCGGGCACATCCCCAGTGGGAGTGTGCAGGAGGCGGCTGATCGGTGTTTCTCTCTCATCGATGTTTCTGACTCTCTATCCTTCTCCCTTCCTCTCTGTAAAAAAAAATCAATAAAATATATGTATATATATACATATATATAAATGTTTTTATTGATTTTTTTTAGAGAGAGGAGGAGAGAAGATAGAAACATCAATGAGAGAGAAGCAGTAATCAGCTGCCTCATGCACACCCCCTCCTGGGGATCTGGGGATCGAGCTCGGGAATTGAACCAGGAACCTTCCTGGTACCTGAGGCGACGCTCAATCTGCTGAGCCCACTGGCCGGGCTAGAGGCCTCCCTTTTACGATGACATCTTAGAGGGTCACTGCCTCATTTATAGAATAGGGGGTGGGGGGATCAACGCTTGCCCTGTCCTCCTTACGTGGTTGGAGGGAAGATCTAATGAGCCATGTAGACTGTCCAGGGTTGTACCCGTCTAAGGGGTCACTCGCCTTCAGCCGTCAGAAGCAGAGGCCACATTGTTAACGACTGCCCGTCAGGAAGGCATCAGCTTGAGCCCTGGCTGGTGTGGCTCAGCGGATAGAGCATCGGCCTGTGGACTGAAGGATCCCAGGTTCGATTCCGGGTCAGGGCACATGCCTGGGTTTCGGGCTCCATCCCCAGTGGGGGACCCATCAATGATTCTCTCTTATCATTGATGTTTCTATCTCTCCCTCTCCCTTCCTCTCTGAGATCAATAAAAAAAATATATTTTAAAAAAATAATGCATCAGCCTGAGACCACAGCACGTCCCTGTGGCCACATCTTCCAGGCCTTGAGGCTGCCACATGGGCTGAAACCACCCCTGGGCTGGCCTCGGCCCCAATAGCTGGGCTCGCCCAGGTCCCCTACCCCTCGGGCATCCTGGGGCGCCCCCCCCCCACCTCTGGGCTCTCTCGGGCCCTTTAGGCTGGCGGATGTGGGTAGTGCTGGACACCTCCCTTGCTCTGGGCCCTGATAGAGGTGGGTCGAGAGGAGGAGGGGCCCGCGGTGGCATCTCCATCTGTGTGGGGTGCCTGCCCCACACACTCAGGGGCGGTTAGATAACCCTCCACACCCCGTCCCTCCCCACTTCACATTCCAGCCTCTTTCTGCACGGCCTCGGCTGCCCTCCACGCCCACTTCCTGCCGGTGGCCGCAGCAGAGATTGGGTTCCCGCTGCCCTCTCCCAGCCTAATCCTGCCCGTTTCTCACCCATCTCCTTTGTCTCCTTTCTCGCCCTAATCCCTCTCATGGGACATGCCCCAGCTACTTCTGGGGACCTCAGAGGCTGGGCAGGGAGAGCCAGGGGGAGGGTTTGGGGGGTCCTCTCGGCAGCTGTGGCCTTTCAGAGATACCCCTACAAAGTGCTTTTCCTGGTTCATAGGTTGATGCTCAACCACTGAGCCACACCAGGGAGCGGGGAGCCGGGAGAGCTCAGAAAAGTTTCTCCCTCTCTCGGACCTTCCACTTCTTCGATTCTCTGACTCTGGACCCATAGCCACGCCCTGCCTTCCCTGGGAGGGCTCACCCTGTAACACGGGCCAAACAAAAGAGGCATGAGGCCCACGGGCCACGAGTTTGACATGCTTGGTCTAAATCATGGTGGTGGGGCCCCAGGCTGCAGGGTGTCTCCAGGCCACGGAATTAATCTCCCTCCCCCGAAGCAAAGCCCCTGGCAGAGGAGAACCCCCACCCCCACCCATGGGACACATCTTCTCAAATAAGTCCCCAGATTGTGTTTAGCTCCTCTTTGCCAAGCTCTCAGGGGGCCATGGCGACAACCAGGACATAAGCAAACAGCTGCAGGAGGTACACAGGGCCGCCCACGCCACACCCTGGAACCGCTCTTTCCGGGAGGTCACTGATCGATGTTTCTGTGGAAACATAACCTTTTTCTGTTCTCGTGTGCACACCCTGATCGTACAGTCACTCTATGCGTATCCTTTTGAGGAGCAGCCAAACTGTTTCCCAGAGCGGCCGCGCCATGTTACACCACCCCCCACCCCCCACCCCCCCCCCAGCAATGGGCGAGGGTTCTGATTTCTTCACTCCCTCACCTACATTTATTGTCTGTTTTCTTTTTTAAATAAATCTTTATTGATTTCAGAGAGGAAGGGAGAGGGAAAGAGAGATAGAAGCATCAATTGATGAGAGAGAATCATGGATTGGCTGCCTCCTGCACGCCCCCCACTGGGGATCAAGCCCGCAACCTGGGCATGTGCCCTGACTGGGAATCGGACCTGGGACCCTTCAGTCTGCAGGCCGACGCTCTATCCACTGAGCCACACCGGCCAGGACTTGTCTGTTTTCTCGACAGGTGAGGCCAGGTATTTTCCAACACCTCATCCTATAAGTACCGCGCGCTAACAGATTGCGCCACTGGAGCTCCATCAACACCTCATCTTAAGAGTTTTGACCTGCGGCCTCTTGCCAAGATCTTGCCATTCTTTCCTGACAAACAACAGACTCTGTTGCATAACCTGCATCATAACAGGGTTGTATTAGCAACTAAGTGTCCCCAGTCGCTCGCAAGTAACACACATCAGTCAGCTGTCACCCAAGTGTCACCCAGCCCTCCTGGCTCTCCTCCAGCCTCAGACCCCACAGCTTCCCCCACCCCATGCCTGTCTGGGAGCCCCCCCCCCACACACACACACACATGCTTCAGCTCTCCCTTCAGGGGTCCCTCCCGTGGGCAAAGCACATCCGATCCCCCATCGGGTTTCTTTGCTGGATGCTCCCCCAGAATTTGGCTCCTGCCCCTCCCAGCGCACCCGTGATGACATGCTCACTCGGTGATGGATCATCAGTCACTTGTGCCTCTTCTAACACAGGCACCCTTCCTGCCACTGGGGCCTGGCCAGCCCAGTAGCCGGGTGCCCCCGGGGCCTGCAGTGCCTGGCGCTGGACAGACGCTCAATAAACGTTGATGAGTAAATGGGTGAACAAGGAAACAAACCTGCGCCAGCCAGTGCCTCTCAGAGCTATTTCCTTTTTTGAAAAAATATATTTTTTATTGATTTCAGAGAGGACGGGAGAAGGAAAGAGAGAGAGAGATCAATGATGAGAGAGAGTCATTGATCGGCTGCCTCCTGCACACCCCACACTGGGGATCAAACCCGCAACCCAGGCCTGTGCTCTGATCGGGAATCGAACCGTGACCTCCTGGTTTATAGGTCGACGCTCAACCACTGAGCCACCGCGGCCGGGCTAAACCCCTTGATTTTAGGCAGGGGATTATGAAGGTGGAAGTCACCTATTGTGAGCCTCTGTCATAGCAACAGGTGGGCCCAGCAAAACCTGGCAAAGGGTCCCTCCAACCCCAGCCAGGGGGCCCTCTCTAGCCTGCCAAGGGCAGCGGGAATGGCTCTGGGATGGCCGAGCACCACGTGGTTCTCCAGATGTGGCTGCATCTGGGAGGCTGCACAGAGGGTGACCGAGTAGGGCCGCCAGGTAGTGGCAAAGCCCGCTCTGAGGTGGGGGAGCAGCCCTGGAACACCATGTCCCGTGGTTTCTGCCTGACCCCAGCCCCGGGCCATCTCCCGGATGCAGGCACAGCAGTCTCTCTTCTTACCAAACCACTCACACTCCCTGGCAGACGAGGAGCGCCTCACGCACGGGCGCTGGCCTTTTGCTTCATTTAGCTGGTCTGCTCCTCATGGCGTCGGAGCTCCTGCACAGACGCTCAAGCCTCCAGCTGGCCCTGCCCGTCCCCTTGAGCCGCTTCCGGCAGAGAACGCGGCCTCCCTGCTCTTAGGGCCTGAAGCTGTGCTCCCTGCGAGGCCTGGGGCTCAGGCCGCCAAGCCCGGGCGCCGGGTGTGGGGGGTCCTGGGACAGGTGGGCGTTGTCAGGAGGGACTCGGGGCAGCTCTGCAGGCGGAATTCTTCCTCAGTGGACGCTGGTTCATCCCCAGCCTTTGCAGACAGGTCATCAGATGCCCGTCGGGATCCTCAGGGTGGTCTACGCGCTGGGTGTCCCCCTCCTGCTTGGCCCCTGGGCCAGGTGTGCCAGGAGGAGCTGAGATGGTGAGGGGAGATGAGTGCCCTCTGGGTGGCCTCCAGCAGCACCCTGCCTGGGGTGGGGGGCAGGGGACAGGGAGTGGGTGCAGAGGGGGGTGGAGAACCCAGGCGCAGAGGCAGCAGGGTCTTCATTGTGCCGGGGATGGATTTGTCGCCTCGAGACCCTGGATTTTCTCCTGGGAGGCCCTGTCGGGGAGCAGCACCTCCACGGTGTAGCTGACCTTCTTGGCGTGAATCAGGCTGTAGGTGTTGTCGAAGCGCAGGACGTCTGCCAGGACGGAGAAGGAAGCCATCAGGCAGCTCTAGCCCGACCCCCCTGCAGACCCGGTGCCCTGGGGGACTGGCCGCCCAGGACTATGGATGGGGCTGGAGGGTCAGCCACTGCCCAGCCCCCAGCCCATGGCTCCCAGCCACCCATCGCTTTGGATGATGGTTGTGCTCATTAAAGAATTAGGAATAGCCTGGCCGGCGTGGCTCAGTGGTGGAGTGGCGACCTCTGAACCAGAAGGTCAAGGTTCGATTCCCAGTCAGGGCATATGCCCAGGTTGCAGGCTCGATCCCCAGTAGGGGGCATGCAAGAGGCAGCCAATCAACGATTCTCTCTTATTCATTGATGTTTCCATCTCTCTCTCCCTCTCCTTTCCTCCCTGAAATATTTATTTTATTTTAAATATATTTTATTGATTTTTTACAGAGAGGAAGGGAGAGGGATAGAGAGTTAAGAAACATCGATGAGAGAGAAACATCGATCAGCTGCCTCCTGCATACCCACTACTGGGGATGTGCCCACAACCAAGGTACATGCCCTTGACCGGAATCGAACCTGGAACCCTTCAGTCCGCAGGCCGACGCTCTATCCACTGAGCCAAACCGGTTAGGGCTGAAATATTTTTTTTAAAAAAAGGCAGAGAGAGAGAAGCCAGACTGGCCACCCATGTCAGCCCATCCCTTCACCAGGGGGAGGAAAACGACCCTAGTGGACCCTACGGCTCTTACAGACGCCGGCCTGGAGGCAGGTGAGGCTCCCGTCCTCGGGCACCAGGTGGGCGTTGTAACGCTCGCTGGGCAGCACCTCCGTCATCTCCCCCACCCGCTGCCGCTCCCCCTTCTTGGTCTTCAGGAAAACCCCGAAGCCGATGTCCGCTCCCTCCGATTCAAACTGCCACCTGCAGGGGACAGGGCGCCGCTGATGGCCACCTGATGCCCGGGCTCCAGGCTCCTCCCAGCTGTGCCCAGGTGTCAGTGGCCACCGTCCGTCCCTACCTGAGCACACAGCCCGGGAACAGAATCTCAAACTCCACCTGCAGGGAGGAGCCGCGGCCCACGGTCGCCGTGTGCTCATACTGCACCTTCACCTGGTTGTGCAGGTAGTAGCTCTTGGGCACTTCGCCTCCGTAGTTGATCTGTGGGTGAGGGTGGGTGAGCGGCATCACCACCCTCACTCCTCATCCCCTGGGCACCCCCATACCTTGGTCAGGCACTTGGGGTTGCCATCGGGGTCGGTCAAGGTCCCCCCAAATTCCACAGGTAGCTGGTCGGGGCTGATGAACTTTGGCAGCTCTTGCTTCCAGTTGCCTGAGGGAGCAAGTGGGGGGGCTTGACAGAAGGCAGAGGGGGGGGCCAAGCCCTGGGAGGGACCCTGGTGTGCCCTTGGCTCGCTCCCCTGGGTGCCTACTCATGAGAGCACCCGAGAGCGTGGCATGGCCACCCAGGCTGGCGTCCAGGCCCAAAGCCTCGTCTGAGTGTGCAAAGGCCGGTGGAGTCAGGCTGAGGTCAGTGCCTGGGTGAAGAGGATGGGCCAGAGAGAAATGGGGGCGTGAGCACTGACCTCTGCTCCCTGGGCAGATGGGGAGATGGGCACAGCCAGGAGGCCACGTCACTCACCTCCCAGAATCACTATCTTCTGTCGAGTCTCCTCACTCATGAACGACTTGACCAAGTTGAAGGCCACAGGGAACAGCTTGGGGGCTGAAACACAGGAAACTCCCTTGGGAAACTGACCCAGCGAGGACTTGGGATTAGATGTAAAGTCCCCCTCAAGGGCGTGGGCCGGACAGGAATTAGATCTAGATTCTGACTCTTCGTGCTGTGTGACCTTCAGCTAGTTGCTCACCCTCTCTGAGCTTTAGTGCTGTTAACTGTAACTCATAAAATGGAGATTCCACTTAACAGCGTGTGCATAACACTTGGCACCGTGCCTGGCTCGCGATACGTGGCTGGCTTCCCTGTTCAGCTGTAGGGCTTCAGGAGTGTTGATTCCCCAGTGGCCGCCTCTTCTTTTTCACACTCAAGGTTTTCCCAGGTTGCCTTGGACTCCTCTTGGGTGCAAGTAGGTGGGGCATCTGCCTTAGGCCTCATGTCCCATCTGCATCACTCACACTTACTAGGACCTTTCTGTGGGTCAGGCTCTGTACTACGCCTTCTCCACAGACTGTCTCACTTCACCTCACAGCTGTCTCATGGGGAAGGTGCCATCGCATCCCCATTTTACAGAATGGGAAAACTGAGGCTCAGGAGGTTCCACAGGCTTGCTCAAAGTCACAGAGCTAGCTAGATGGGAAGCCAAATCATCTGACCCAGAGCACATACGATGACCCCCCCTCACTATGTGGCTGTCACAGACACGGACCATTCTCGCCCAAAGTGTGTCCACCAATCCGTGTGGCCCATAGACCATCTGTTACCAGTGCACACACCCAGATAAGTAAAGAAAATAACAGCAAACATTTAGAAACTTACAATGTATTTGACACTGCTGCATGGGCTTTTGTATATCCCCAAAATATCAGCCTGGGAAGCACTGAGCTAAAACACCCACACACAAAAACCAACAGCCGAAACCGGTTTGGCTCAGTGGATAGAGCGTCGGCCTGCGGACTGAAAGGTCCAGGGTCGATTCCGGTCAAGGGCATGTACCTGGGTTGCGGGCACATCCCCAGTAGGAGGTGTGCAGGAGGCAGCTGATCGATGTTTCTCTCTCATCGATGTTTCTGACTCTCTCTCTCCCTCCCTTCCTCTCTGTAAAGAATCAATAAAAAATATATTTTTTAAAAAAAAAACCAACAACAACAAAAAACACCCATTCTTCACAAAGGATGGTTTCAGAAGCCCTGAACGTGGTGGCTGACCCACGGCCCACCCCCCATTCTCCACTCCTTCCCTGCTGCCCCATTAATCCTCACCTCGAACAATAAGTAAATTCTTCAGTGTCTCAGGATAATTTGCTTCCATGATGGCGAAAAACTGTGAAGTCAAGAAGAGTCGGGTTGAGGCCACACTCCAACATTCCTGCCTGGATGGGTGGCCTCTGAGGCTGCGGAGGCAAGAGCCCCCCTCCCCCTGTCCCCTGGCCCACCCGGCCTTCCCATGAGCACCCACCCCGTCCTCTGTGAGACTCCTGCTCCTCTTTCTCCTTGCAGGAGGTACCTCAGGTCGGCGTCACTGACTGCTGGGTGGGACCCCTGAGGGCAGGGGTTCCCCTCCTCCATGGACTGAAGCTGCTGTGGGCAGTGGCTCCCTATTGGCCTCGAGCCAGCTGCTTACCTTACCTGCTGGTAGACCTCCACAGCTGGCTTCCACAGGTGTTGCAGGCCCAGCCCCTCCAGGTCAAACACCATCAGCACCGTCTCGATCTTCCTGCCCAGCTGCGTGGGACGGAGCAGGTACATAGGTCGGACGGGAGATGCAGGCCACAGAGACCTGGGCGCGGCTCCTACCTTCCTGCCACCCCCACCCCTGGCTGCCCGCAGCGTTTGCCAAGCAGATGCACCTGCCTAGGCTCTGAGAAGATGCTGCATTTAAGCCCTGCAATGAGTTAGCTGTGCAATTAAAAATCTTCGTTCCTGCCCTAACTGATTTGGCTCAGCGGATAGAGCGTCGGCCTGCGGACTGAAGGGTCCCAGGTTCGATTCCGGTCAAGGGCATGTACCTTGGTTGCAGGCACATCCCCAGTACGGGGCGTGCAAAAGACAGCTGAATCGATGTTTCTAACTCTGTATCCCTCTCCCTTCCTCTCTATAAAAAATCAATAAAATATATTTTTTTAAAAATCTTCGTTCCTTATTCATTGGGCACCTTTAGATACAGTAGTAGATACTACGTTGACCAGCGTCTGCAGCGCTATGCTCTTGGCAGGCTGTGTGGCCTTGCGTTCATAGGTCGACCCTCAACCACGGAGCCACACCGGTTGGGCCCGGTGCCACCTTTTAGACAGAGTGGGCCTAACGTGACCCCCTTCCCCGCCCCTCCCCCCCCCAACACTCCCCCACCCCCGGCCCGGGTCACTCACCTTCCGACTCTGCAGCTCACACTCCTGCAAAAGCCGCTCACAGACCTTGATGCGCTTCCGGATCAGCTCCTGCTTGGAGGCCGACAGGAGGAGGCCCTTGGGGTCCAGGTTCCCGATGATGTCGAACCACACGGGGCAGCCTTCGTGGTCGTAGCCGCACAGACCGCCCGAGTCGTACCGCTGGATCACCTGGGGGAGGTCCTCCCTCAGATCGGCCCCCCCGGCCATGTCCCTGCTCCATCAGGCAGCTGGACATGGGCGGGCGGGGAGCGGGGAGTGAGGTGGGGGTGGTGTGGGGCTCACCTCTGACGGCTGCCACGCGAGGATGTTGTCCAGGTCCTGTTGCTTCCGGAACTCGAGGTGCTGTGGAGACAGGGCAGGTCCCGGAGGCTGTGTGCCCCGAAGGTCCCTCTGCTCGAAGGCACCGAGGCCCGGCCACAGCATCCCCCGGGCTCTGCCGACACTGAACGGGGGGTGGGGACACCTGGAGTAGGACCGTGGGGGGCCTGGGTCCGATGCCGAAGGGGATCCATGGAGGGGGGAGAAGAAACGTGACAACAGGACAGGGCGAGGCCCCCACCCTTTGTGGCTGATCCCTGGGGTGCAGAGTGTGGGGGGCGGCCTCACCTTGCGGAGCATGTCCTCGGATTTCTTCAGGTCGAACTTCTGAGCTGCGGGAAGAGTCAAGGTAAGAGGAGGCTCGAGGCCGGATCTAGAGCAAGCTATTCTCTGAAACTCATGAGGACATTTTGGGGGGGTGGGCCCTGTCTGTTCCCAACACCCAAGGATCCACTGGGGGTCTGGCAAGTCTGTGAAAATGGGAGGATCTTTAATTCTCTAGAAGGCTTTGGAGAAAGTCTTGATTTCGGTTTGCAGGGCTTTTTAAACTCTTCATTCTAAAGCAGGGGTCCTCAAACTTTTTAAACAGGGGGCCAGTTCACTATCTCTCAGACTGTTGGAGGGCCGGACTATAGTTAAAAAACAACAACTATGAACAAATTCCTATGCACACTGCACATATCTTATTTTGAACTAAAAAAACAAAACGGGAACAAATACGATATTTGTATTTGCATGTGGTCCACGGGCCGTAGTTTGAGGACCCCTGTTCTAAAGGTTGATCTGACCCTAAACCGGTAGCTCAGTTGGTTAGAGCGTCATCCCACTGTGCCAGGGCTGTGGGTTCGATCCCCTGCTGAACAGCTTGGGTTTTGGAGTCAGGAATGATTTGGGCCTGAAGTCTAGTTTTGTCCTTTTATTTGCTGTGCAACCTTAAGCAAATCGCTTAACTTCTCTGAGCCTTAGTTTTGTAATCTGTTAAATGGGAATAATATCTTTGTTGTTGTTAATCCTCACCCGAGGGTATTTTTTCCATTGCTTTTTTAGAGAATGGAAGGCAGGGAGGGAAGAGAGAGAGAGAGAGAGAGAGAGAGAGAGAGAGAGAGAGAGTGACATCGAGAGATACACCACGAAGCTTTCTCTGCCCTGACCAGGACCCACCTCCAGAGAAAACCCACCAAGGCCACCAGCTCTGTCTTGATGATCAAGTTCAAAATCCGTCCCCTGGGGTGTGCTGAGTCGAAATCACGGTTCCCCTAAGCCCTGGAGTGGTTTCTGTTATTCTAATCATTTTACCCTGGCTCAGCCATTCCTGGAAGAAACTCCCCCACCTTTCATTACATCCACTTCCTGGCGTGTTTGCGGGCATCTGCTTGCTGCCGGGTTCTCTACGGGGACACACAGCCTTGTCTTCAGGGACCTGGAGACGGGCCCAGAGGCAGGTGCCCCGAGACCGTGTTCAGCGACGTCTGACTCAAGGCCGGGCCAGGCCTGTCATCCCGAGAACTCCCGAGGGAGGTGCCAACTGTGAGCTCGCCTCGACCCCGTGCCCAGCCGGTGCCAGGCTCCACACCCTCTCATTTAACGCTCACAACCGCCAGTGGGCGGCGGCCTCATCCCACATTTGCAGATGAAGAAGCTGAGGCTCAGTGGGGTTTTGGGTGCCAGGCCAGCCTGAAGGGGAGCTCAGATTCTAGCCCAAAGTGGGCTGGTTCCAGAGCCCGGGTTCTTTTTTTTTCTTTTTAAAATATATTTTTGATTGATTTCAGAGAAGAAGGGAGAGGGAGAGAGAGAGAGAAACAGCGATGATGAGAGAGAATCATGGATCGGCTGCCTCCTGCACGCCCCCCACTGGAGATCGAGCCCGCAACCCGGGTACGTGCCCTGACCGGGAATCGAACCCTCACCTCCTAGTTCATAGGCCGTTGCTCAACCACGGAGCCACGCCGGCCGGGCTCAGAGCCCCTGTTCTTTACCGCTCTGTCCCCCAAAGTCTCCCACACCCTCTCCTGAGGCCCTCACCTCGCAGCCAGCGCAGGAGGAAGTGGTCATCAGCTTTGGGCATGGTGGGCAGCAGGTCCTGGAGGTTGTCCTGGAACTGAGGGGGGGGGGATATGATTGTCAGAGGGGCTGCCATGATCCCCAGGGCCCCCAACCCCGTCCCCATCCCCGACCCTGCCCACCCTCAGTCAGCCCGTCAGCCCTGCCCAGGGACCCTGCCCAGGGACTGCGCAGTCGGCGGCGGCTCCCTGTATCGTTCTGCACCTGGGAATGGAGCACACCCACCCCTCCGGCCCACCATGGCAGGAAGAGTGGTGTCCTCAAACTTTGGGGGATCTCTGTCCCCCAAGACCCTCACTCTATAAGTCTGAGGTGGGGCCCTGCCATCCCTATTTCTGCAAAGATCCCTGGTGAATTTGATGCAGGCCAACGTTTAGGAATGTTGCCCCTGATTCTGCATCTATGATTTGAAATATGTTTTCATTGATTTCAGAGAGGAAGGGAGAGGGAGAGAGAGAGAATCATCCATGATGAGCGAGAACCATGGACCGGCTGCCTCCTGCACGCCCAACACTGGGGATGGAGTCCGCAACCCAGGCCTGTGCCCTGACCGAGAATCGAACCCTGACCTCCTGGTTCACAGGTCGACGCTCAACCACCGAGCCCACCAGCTGGGCTCTTTTCCCCTAATTTTAAAAGTAGCGCCCATTTCTTTCAAATAACGATAAAAACTAAGACTAAACGCTCTTTACGTTGCTTAAAGCATCGCCACCGGAATTCACCCCCAAAGGCCAGGTGTCCAGTCCCTGCTAGGGGCCTGGCTTCTCTGAGGCCATTGCCAATGGGGGAGGGGGAGGGTTCACCGGGGACCCGCTCCCTTTCACCTGAGGACCCTGCCTTCATCTGGGACCCTCTGCTCCTGGGACCTCCTCCTTTACCTGGGGCTCCCCCCAGGGCCCCCATCATTCACCTGGGACCCATCTCTCCTCCAGTAGGAATTCACCCAGGGCCCCTCCTTCACCAGAGGCGCCCATTTGGCTCTGCGGGGGCCCTCAGGGCCTCCGAGGGGAGGAGCCGCAACAGAAACCCTTCCCCACAAGCCCCAGGCTGCCCTTCAGTGCCCAAGTGCCAGCCAGGGCTGGGGCCCCCTCCCCCCTCCCCCCACCCTGAGGTCACAGATCCAGCCCCCTGGCCACCTGCAAACCCCATTCATGCTGTGGCACCTAAGATTTGGACGTGCTCCCCCTTCCGCACAGCCAGGACCTTCCCAGGTGTGGCCTACCCCCCCCCCCCCGGGGGCCCGTTAGGTCAACCCCTCCCTTCCCCTTTAATGAAAACATTGGCGATCTGGAGACAGCGTAGGCCCTGGTGAGTCAGAACGCCACCCAGAGAAGCCAAACAAATGTTGCAATCTGGGCGGGAGATCTGGGAGTCTGTTTGCCCCTAAACTGTCCAGAAGCAGGACAGGCAGAGCGGGGAGGGGGGCCCCTCCCCTTCCCACTCCCCACCCCCAGCAGGGGACAGGCCCCAGGGGGCTCTGTGGCCAGGAGCGGGCAGGAGTGGGGAGCTGGATCGGGCCCCAGTGTGGCCCAGAGAAGGGCTCCTGTCCCGCGTCCTGTCCACAGCGGCCGAGCAACTGGGCACAGGTGCCCACGGCTGGGCAGGGGCGCTCTCCAGGGTCCCCTTTCCCCCCCATACAATAGGGGCTCCAGCATCAGGCTGCTGGGGGGCGCGGGCAAGCCAAGCCTCCCGGCCCTGACCCCCCCACCCCCGAAGAACCTCACCCTGGCCAGGGCCTCCTGCTGCTGGGGGCTCAGGTCCCCGACTCGGCCACTCATGGTGCCTGAGGGCGCCCGCTTTTGCCGCTCAGGGTGCTCCCTGGGCCTGGTTTTGCCCCTGAGGTCAGATGCTGGTCCCGCCCCCGACAACGACGGGAGAGCCCGGTCTGCCCCGCCCCTGTCCCGCTGCTGGTTTCCCCTCCCCTCTGGGATGTTTGCCACCATCTGTCCCCAAGATGCACCCTAGCAGGGCCAGGAGGTAACACGCCCCCAAAGGGGCCCCAGAGCAGACTTCAGTGAGGGCAGCAAGCACCCCCCCTTCCGGCCTCCTCTTCCCAGGGGCTCCCACAGGCTCCCACAGGGCAGGGCAGGGGGAGGGCACCAAGGACACGGGCAAGTTTCAGGGATCCCCTTCCAGCAAAACGGGGGCGCTTTTATGAACGTGGTTCAGCCCTCGGGGTGGCCCCCAGGCCTTTCTTCCCAAGGGGCCCCCCACCCCTTCCCCTGACCTGGAACTCAGGCTACACCCTGGCCGTGCTCACCCGCTGATAGGACAGCCCTTGTGTGCAGCGTGGTTCCAGCCTCAAGATGGTCCGGAGGATTAACCGGGACGGCCCGCCAGGGGCTTGCCTGGCATCGCATACCCAGCGCGTGTTGCTTCATCCTAAGGAGGCCAAGGCTGTCAGCAGAGCAGCAAGCTGCAGGGGTGAGGTGTGGGGGAGGGTCTGGGGGGGGGTCTTGGGAGGCCAGAGGGTGGGAGGCTGTTGACACAGGTGTCTGGGATGGCACCTGAGAGCCAAGCAAAGGTCCCTGGGGAAGGTGAGAAAGTTCAAGTTGGCTGAGCAGACATTTCCCAGAGAGAGAAGCAGGTGGGAGGTGAAGGTAAAGGCGTGGGAAACCAGGCTACCAGACCTTTGCCCTCTGCACGTCTCAGGCTTTCGTCCACCAATCTGGGCTTCCCAGCCACGGGTGGCAGTTGAGGTTGGAGAATGTGGCTTGCCACTAGTGGGAATGGAGGTGTCAGTGAAAAATATACACCACGTTTCGGAGACCTAGTATCCAAAAAATTTAATGTTTCATTATTTAATGTCTTCTATTGATAAAAATGGATTTTACCTGTTTCTTTTACATTTTTGTAATTTAGAAGTTTATAAATTAATAAACTTTATTTTGCCCTAGCCAGTTTGGCTCAGCGGATAGAGCGTGGGCCTGTGGACTGAAGGGTCCTGGGTTCGACTCCGGTCGAGGGCACGTGCCCAGGTTGTGTGCTCGATCCCCAGTAGGGGACGTGCAGGAGGCTGCCGGTCCATGATTTTCTCTCATCATGATGCTTCTATCTCTCCCTCCCTCTCCCTTCCTCTCTGAAAAGCCATGGGGAAGATATCTTCTGGAGGATTAACAGCACAAAGTTGGTGAAGAGGAGACATTCCTACGTTGCTGGCAGGACTGGAAATTGGTTCCGTTTTTCTAAAAAACCACCTGACAATACGCGTTAGGGTCCTTCGATAGTTTGCCGACGAATAGTCCTCAGTAACGGAAAACATTTTCAGTTTAAAGTTGTTTGTGCCTTGTTAGTAGGAAAATTGGAAGCAATTTCTCAGGAGACCCTGGTGCTTACTGTGGCTGACAGAGAGCTTATAACGACATGGAAAAAACCCACACCCACAGGACAATTGGGAAGAGACGGGACCACGTTATAGATGCCTTATGCTTTTGGGGATGCAAAACCAAGTCCACGGATCCAAGGAGGGCCAGACAAGAAAAGGAATATCTCCCCAACGCTCCCCAGTTCCTGAGGCGTAGGAAGCCGTGTTTCTAAAATGCCTCAGGTAGCAGGTCACCTGCAAAGAGAAGTCCTTATTGGCCAGGCCCTGTTCTAAGGGCTTTGTCAATATTAGCTCAGGTCATGGGAGTCACACAGGAAACTTTGCTATTTTTTTTACAATTTTATTTTCCCATTGCAGTTTATGCGCAATATCACTGTGTATTAGTTTTAGGCGCACAGCATAGTGGTTGGCAGTCACACACTTTGCAAGGTGTCCCGTCCCCCCCCCCCGACCCCCGCTCCCCGATATCTCCAGTACCTGGTTCCTTACGTAGTTTCTACCACATTCTTGACTCTGTTCCCTACGCTATACTTTATTGACACACCCTGTGACTACGTTGCAACTGCCAATTTGCACTTCTTAATCCCTTCACCTTTTTTTGTTATATTTTTTTTATTTATTTTTAAAATATTTTTTATTGATTTTTTTACAGAGAGGAAGGGAGAGGGATAGAGAGTCAGAAACATCAATCAGTTTGCCTCCTGCACACCCCCTACTGGGGATGTGCCCACAACCATGGTACATGCCCTTGACTGGAATCGAACCTGGGACCCTTCAGTCTGCAGGCCGACGCTCTATCCACTGAGCCAAACAAGTCAGGGCTGTTATATTTTTATTGATTTCAGAGAGGAAGAGAGAGGGAGAGAGAGAGAGAGAGAGAGAGAGAAACCTCAGTGATGAGAGAGAATCATGGATCCGCTGCCTTCTGCACGCTCCACATTGGGGATCGGGCCTGCAACCCGGGCATGTGTCCTGACTGTGAATCGAACTTGGTTCATAGGTGGATGCTCAACCACTGAGCCACGCTGGTCGGGCGAGGTAAGCACTATTAAAGGTCTCACACCAGCCAGCAGCAAAGCCAGGACTGGGACCAGGCAGGTTAGTACAGGGCCAGGTGCCCACCTTGCCATGTGGCTCCGGGCCCCCTCCAGTCCCTGTTCTTCCAGCACAGCTCTTGCTGGGCGTGGAGGACTTTTGCTCTCATCATCTGGGTGCCCGTGTTTTGGGAGACGGACAACTCCCCGTCTTCCGTGGTATGTGGGCTGAGAAGTTGGACTGCAATGAGGGTGTTGTCATGGGGTGTAACCCTGACATCACACCTGCCCCCTCACGGCAGTCCCTCCTCCTCCCACCTTCCAGAGGCTCGGAAAACAGCTGGCATGTCTCGCTGGCCACAGGCGCCCTTCCTGCAGTCCTCATTCAAGCCTGGATCCTGCCAGCGGAAGCAAAGCCTGCTGGGTGAATGGCATCCCCATTTTTGGGGTGCGATCAGGCTTGGCAGGAGTCCTGCCTGCTGTGCCCCACATCGTGGCTAAATGGCGCCCACCCTGTGGACATCTAGCTGGACAGATGCCACTGGACGCTCCTCCGAATACGTAGGCCTGGGCCTGGGTGACCTTGGGAGGAAGGATCGGGAGGGAGTGTCTGCCGACCCAGTTGTCCGGGCAGCGGTGGCCTCCCGCCTGGGCCCGCCAGGGCGGTGGAGATTAGGCTCAGGGCAGCTGCGGGAGGGTTTCCTTGGCTCCCCACTCACTCAGGGTGACTCCAGGGAAAGACAGGGTCTGATATGACCACATCCCCCAGACTCTTTGCTCCCACAAGGGCCTGGGAGAAAGAGGGAGGGGCCAGGGGAGCCTGACCCAAACACCTGACGCACAGGGGGAAGGGTGGGTGAGGGATCTGGGGCCACAGTGGGTCTCTTTCCCTACAAAATCCGGGAGGTCCCGGCCTTCCCAAGCCACGGAACAACAGGTGGGCAGTGTGCGGGACTCGCTCTCCCTGGGCTGCTCCTCTGTTTGGGGGAGGGGAGGGTGAGCCCGGCGTGGATGCTTTGAGTGGGACAACAGTGTCAGAGGGAGCAGGTGTGACCAGCTGTGGACACCACCACTATCGGGCCAATGGCTCTGGCCTTTGACCCGTTCCCAGGGAGACTGCGTCAAAGACAGATGTGAGCGTGGATGGGGTCCTCCATTGCAGCTGGGTTTGGGGGCCCAGTGCCCTTGAACACAGAAACCATCCTGTCTGCAGAGTGGCAGCCCCTGGCTCAGGCTCCAGGCTGGAGAGGAGACCCCGAGCTGCTCACTCACCTCTCAGAATCGCCACCTCCCTGCGTGCCTCCTCACCCACCATGACTGGGCCAGGGAACAGCTTGGGGGCTGAAACAGGCACTGCGGCAGGGTTTCTTGGGGTCTCACTTCCCCACCGGCCCCCCACCCATGCATATCCTTAAGGCTGGTTCACCCACCTTTCACAACAATTGAATTCTTCAGTGTGACTCAGTGGTTGAGCGTCAACCTATGAACCAGGGGGTGGCGGTTCGATCCCCGGTCAGGGCACATGCCCGGGTTGCGGGCTCGATCCCCAGTGGGGGGTGTGCAGGAGGCAGCTGATTCATGATTTTCTCTCATCATTGATGTTTCTATCTCTCTCTCCCTCTCCCTTCCTCTCTGAAATCAATAAAAATATATTTAAAAATAAACAAATAAAAAACACCAACCATATTGGATTAGGGCCCACCTTCATGACCTCATCTTTTTTTTTTTAACTGCTTTTATTTTTTTTTCTTCATAATATTTTTGTTGTTGAAAGTATTACATATATGACCTCATCTTGATGACATGTACAAAAACTGTATTTCCAAATAAAGTCAGTTATAGGGAACTGGGGAGGTTAGCAATTCAACCTCTCTCTCTTTTTTTAATGTTTTTATTGATTTGAGAGAGAGAAGAGAGAGGGAGAGAGAGAGAGAGAGAGAGAGAGAGAGAGAGGCATCACTATGAAAGAGAAACATCGATCAGTTGCACCCGGACCAAGGATGGAGCGTGCAACCTCCGTTATGAGCCCTGACTGAACCCGGGACCTTTCGGCGCACAGGCCGGTGCTCAACCCACTGAGCCGTACCAGCCAGGGCCAACATCTCCTTTTAGGGGATACAATTCAACTCACAGTGGAGAGGAACAGGTGGTTCCACTGAATTTCTCCCCAGGGACAGCCATGACCCCCCCCTCCCCCCCCTCTGGCTTTCACATGTCAGGCCTACAGATGACTGGTCATCCTGGTGCCCCCATCTGGACAGAAATAGCAGGACTGACCAAGACCAAATTCGGCACCATGGTGCCCCCTGCTGCCTCGCTGTGGCAAGAGCAGCCTGGCTCCTGCAAGCTGCAAGCTGCAAGCAGCGGCAGAGACCCTTGGGATCACTGTTACTTATTTATTTTAAGAATCTTCTCTTTTATTTTATTTTATTTTATTTTATATTTTTATTGATTTCAGAGAGAAAGGAAGAGGGAGAGATAGAAACATCTGATGTC